GTCATAAGGGCCCAAACCGGTCCCCGAAGATGCCGAAACATGGTCCAGGAGCGCCCCCAAAAACAAACAGGCCCGAGAGGGGCAGTAAACGTGGGGTGACGAAGCGGGTGCCTGTCGTGCACCTTTTGGCCTAGCGTTGGCAGGTCAGGAGCCGCCAGGGCACCTTTGGGACCACTCTCCCGCAACCCTCCCCCCCCCCTCGTGTATTGCCCCCTTGCCGTCCACCCGACTGGCTGCACGCCACCCAGCCTCTGTTGGAGTCGGCATTGGGCATGTCTGTCTGCCCAGGGGCCCGCCTGGCCATGTGCCACTGCAGGCACCGAGGAAGACAGGGAGGGACAGCAATATAGAAGAACCAAAAAACATTACCCTGTGACGTACCCAACCCATTTGCATCAATGGAAACGAGGAGTTGGCCGAAACTTGTATGGACAATCAACTTGATGTGTAAGCTACTTGGGAGGCGTCACTGTGCTGGGCCCCGCAAGCAGGCCTCGAAAGTGGCGACAGGTTCACAAATCGCAGCCCCCCAGGGATGGCGAGGTCTAATCTGAGTCTGCGTGTGGCGTCACTGTGCTGGGCCCCCCAGCAGGCCTCGAAAGTGGCGACAGTTTCACAGATCGCAGCCCCCCAGGGATGGCGAGGTCTAATGTGAATCTGCCCGTGGCGTCACTGTGCTGGGCCCCCCAGCAGGCCTCGAAAGTGGCGACAGTTTCACAGATCGCAGCCCCCCAGGGATGGCGAGGTCCAATTTGAGTCCGCCGTGGGTACCCACTGTGCTGGGCCCCCCAGCAGGCCTCGAAAGTGGCGACAGTTTCACAGATCGCAGCCCCCCAGGGAAGGCGAGGTCTAATTTGGGTCCGCGCGTGGCGTCACTGTGCTGGGCCCCCCAGCAGGCCTCGAAAGTGGCGACAGTTTCACAGATCGCAGCCCCCCAGGGATGGCGAGGTCCCATTTGAGTCTGCGGTGAGTACCCACTGTGCTGGGCCCCTCAGCAGGCCTCGAAAGTGGCGACAGTTTCACAGATCGCAGCCCCCCAGGGATGGCGAGGTCTAATCTGAGTCCCCGTACGACGTCACCCCGCTGCCCCCCCCAGCAGCCCTCGAAAGTGGCGACAGTTTCACGGATCGCAGCCCCCCAGCGATGGCGAGGTCTAATCTGAGTCCCCGTAAGACGTCACTGTGCTGGGCCCCCCAGCAGCCCTCGAAAGTGGCGACAGTTTCACAGATCGCAGCCCCCCAGGGATGGCGAGGTTCAATTTGAGTCCGCGGTGAGTACCCACTGTGCTGTGCCCCTCAGCAGCCCTCGAAAGTGGCGACAGTTTCACAGATCGCAGCCCCCCAAGGATGGCGAGGTCGAATCTGAGTCTGCGGTGAGTACCCACTGTGCTGGGCCCCACAGCAGCCCTCGAAAGTGGCGACAGTTTCAGAGATCGCAGCCCCCCAAGGATGGCGAGGTCCCATTTGAGTCTGCGGTGAGTACCCACTGTGCTGGGCCCCTCAGAAGGCCTCGAAAGTGGCGACAGTTTCACAGATCGCAGCCACCCAGGGATGGCGAGGTCCCAGTTGAGTCTGCGGTGAGTACCAACTGTGCTGGGCCCCCCAGCAGCCCTCGAAAGTGGCGACGGTTTCACAGATCGCAGCCCCCCAGGGATGGCGAGGTCCAATTTGAGTCCGCGGTGAGTGCCCACTGCGCTGTGCCCCTCAGCAGCCCTCGAAAGTGGCGACGGTTTCACAGATCGCAGCCCCCCAAGGATGGCGAGGTCCCATTTGAGTATGCAGTGAGTACCCACTGTGCTGGGCCCCCCAGCAGGCCTCGAAAGTGGCGACAGTTTCACAGATCGCAGCCCCCCAGCTGGCACGCAGCGACGAGCGAGGCGAAAGGCAAGGGGGAAGAGAGGGGCGGGAAGGAAGGAAGGAAGAAAGGAGACGCGCGAGCAGTGCTCTATTTAAAACGAGAACCCAACGCAGGAGGGTTGGGAATAAACATAAAAACTCGGAGGTCCGCGCGGATTTCTCGGATCGGCGCTGGGGCCCCCTGGCGGCGCCTCCGGCGCCGCCCCTGGCGCGCTCCGCGCACCAGGGAGGGGGGTCCGCCGATCCGAGAAATCCGCGCGGACCTCCGAGTTTTTCTGTTTACGCCATTTTTTGTTCCCCTGGGGCCAGCGTCACCCCCGGGCGGTCGCCTTGACTGCCTCCACGTTCTTGCCATCTTCCAAGGGAGTCGCCCCGGCCAGCACGCGCCAGCCGCAGTCGCCGTCTCTCCTCCGAGATCCATTCTTCTTCGCAGCCAGCTGGGCCAGGGGTTGGCCCTTGCAGGCCTTGCGAAGGAGCTGATCACAAGATTGATTGTCTTCTCGTGCTGGGGGTGGGGACGTGCTCCGTCGAGTGTTGCCTCAACCCACCAGCGACTGCTCCTCCCCCACGGAAGGTTCACGCGACTGTTGGGAGACAACCGCCACCCAGCAGTTTCCAAATCGACACGAGCGTACAGGCAGATGGCTTCGGAGATTCCACAATGGCCGGCGAGATGCGCGAAGCGGCTGAAGTAATCGAGCAAGGTGGAAGACAGCGAGAGATCTCCACAGGCGGTTTCGGATGTCTGGCCGAACGCACGGGCTCCGTGTCTCGGCTCTGCACGTCTGCGACCTGCGATTAATGGTGCCAAGATGACTGGCATTCAGTCGCTCAACAGACCCGGCACTACCACGGGCAGAGATCGCCGAGAGCAATCAGGTGTGGCTGCCTCCAGCTTACTCCCAATTTCCCCTGCTCCTCCTGACACCCCTTCTCCTTTTGTGACGCCCGGAGCGCCAGATTTCTGAGGCCGCAGGATGAACATGAAACGTTTGTCATGCATCAAATCATACAGTGCGTTTGCGAGCCTTCACCTGAAAGATTCCTGTGGAATCCCGTCGGGAAAACTGCCACCCTGGGTGTTGTCGACAAGCCGCGGCGACGCACGTGCTGGCGAACTCCACAGGGAAAGGGGCGGCAATGAACAGTACCAGCAGCAAAAGTGACCACACTATGACGAGGAAGGGGAGTAGCAGGAAGGGGAGAGAGACAGAGAGAGAGGCAGCGAACAACTCGAGCCGCATAACCGCCGAGCTTCAACTCGGCCAGAGTGGTGCGGCTGATTCCGACCAATGCGCTGCATCTGCTGGTCCCGTGGTTGATCAAATGGGACGAGTGCACGGTGTCACCGCGGGGACTTCGCAACAACTCATCCGTATGTACGCGAATTCAAGGATATATGGAAGGTGGCCAGATCTCATGAACGCTCAGGTGTGCGGTTGATGTGGGCCAGCCCGAGAGGAGATCCGCCACCTTGCTGCAGGCACTGCGTGGGACGTCCTCAAAAGTTGCGACTTCAGATGTGTGTGCAGAACATGCTAGCAGCGAGGCTGGCACCACCTGGTTCCGGGCGGTTCTTGGACGGATCGCGAGACTTCCCCGAATGTTGGTATGAACTCGGCGCGACCCCCAAGTAGTAGCGAAACGCTTTCTAAGTGGCATTGCTTGGCACTGCTTAGCGCTGTTTGGCATTGCTTCGAGTTGAGCGGCATCGCTTGGCGTTGCTTGACAGTGCTTGGCAACGCTTGGCGTTACTTGGAATGTTTGGCATTGCTTGGCGTTGCTTGGCATTGTTTGGAGCTGCTTGGCATTGCTTGTCGTTTGTTTGGCATTGCTTTACCTTGGTTGGCCTTGCTAGGAAACAACAAAGAAGAACCCAAGGAAAGCCTCTTCACACACAGGGTGCATAAGACCAAGCGTCGTGGCCTTTTCAGAAACGGTAGGACAAGAAGACCAAGGAACCTGAACCTGGGGAACGCCTCTTCGAAAGCAGTACGAAGCAACACCAAATAACCAGGGAGGAGAGAACGCCGTAAGCGAGGGTATATTAGGAACAGGAAACTAAACAAAGAACCTGGGGAACGCCACTTCAAAAGGAACAACAACAGGACCAGGGAACCTGGGGAACGGCTTCACGAACAGTATGGACAAATACCAGGGAACCCGAGCAACGCCTCTAGAACATCAGTAGGATAATGAAACCAAGGAGACCGAGCAAGTGAGGTCAGCGCAAGCCTGGCACCCACGGGTTATCCAAAAACAAACGAGAAACCCTTAGGCCAAGCCAATTTGGGACCACAGTAGGCCAAGCCAATGTGGGACAGCAGTGCTGAAACACCGAATATGTATCATCGTTGTCGGCCCCGGAGGGGAGATTACGGGAGCGCTCTAGTGCCAGGATGGTCACCGAGACCGCCAAGAGGCCCTGGCCCGAATAGGCCCCCCGAGGTGCCAAGGCCCCAAGAGGCCTCCAAGAAGCCCCTAGAGGCCCCAGATGTGAAGCCCCAAAAAGCCTTCAAGAGAGCCCTGATATGCATCCGAGAGACCCCAAGATGCTTCCATGAGGACTTTGGCCCCAGACCCAGGCACGGTGGTGGGATGGGCCGAAGGCCACTGGATAGAATACACTGGTTCGGCTGAGGCGGAGGAGGGAGTGTTGCATGTTGCGCCGGGAAATGATGTGAGCGACCGAAGTGGGGGGATGGGGTAAGATATGAAAAACCGCGAGAGAACTCCTCAAGAGGATGAGGAATTGCTCCTGCCGCCAAACTCCGGAGGCCAAGGCGGGCTCGCGAGACCATGCGCGAACCCTGACATAGCCAAAGCAAAGCCCTCTCTGCTCCATGGCCGTGCGCGACCTCTTAGGTGGCCACCAAAAGATCTCCCTGCTTCACGGTGTAGAATTCTTGGGTATCCGCAGCAGGTGTGTACCACGGCACGTGGACGGCACATGTACCGCGGCACGTGGACGTGTACCATGGCAGCAGGCGTGCACCCCACCTGCCTGGCACTGCCTCACCTGCCCTTCACGACACGAAGAAGAGGAGGAAGAGGACGAGGAGGAGGAGGAGGAGGACGAGGAGGAGGAGGAGGAGGAGAAGCCCGCTTCGAGCTCGAAGTGCTCGGCGACCATGGCGCGCTCGGTCAAGTCGCAGGCGCTGGGAGGCCGGAGACGCGTCCGGGCGGCGCCCCGCGGCTGCTGTCGCAAAACAGGGCAATCAGGTGCTCTTTCCCCTCGCTCCGCGCAAGCTGCATGGCGGAGCGGCAGCCTCTGGAGGGCACGCGTCGCTCTGGAATCGGCGCAATATCGTCGACAAGCCAGAGATAAGCCCCTGGTAGCGAATCCGAGAGGTCCTGGCTATTGGGCGCCTACAATCGAAACGGTGTCATAAGGAAGCCTAAGTAAGGAACGAGGTCTCCTCCTGTAACAACTTGGACTTGGGTTTCCCACACAAAGCCTGAGGAGCACCTAAGACGCACCGTACAACGATTAAAAAAACACCGAGCCCCTCCCCAACGAAAAGGGTTCCTTCTCAGCGGCCCAAGTGGACTATCGGCGATGGATGGCGACTGAATGCCGATACGTCCCCCCACCGAGCCTATCCCCCTTACACAGCCGTGACACAAGTTTCCTCGATCAGCTATGGCGAAGATATCTCCAATCTCTTTTAACATTCCTAACATCGTGATGATGGCGTCATTCGGCGGAGTATTTTCCGATACGCCTGGTGCTTATAACTCTGTTACCCCCAAACTGGATCGGAAACTGCTCCGCGCCACACCCCATCACATTCCGAGCAGGATGCGCCCGTGCGCGGAGCAGTTGGAGCACTCCTGCTCCGAACTGCTCGGCCCTGCTGCGCCATGGGCGATGGCAGATTGACAGAAACTTTCGCCACGGTGTTGTACCTTGAGCAGGGACCGACCGTCCCAGCATTCCTCTACACGGTGTCTTCTCAGAACCCCAGAAAGGTTTGAGAACAAAAGCCATATTCTGAGAACGCGGAACCGATGCGTTAGAAGATGACAGCCCCAGCCAGAAACGTTCTACAAACGTGTCGTGGAAACCACGAACAGTTCTTAGAACATTGTTTGGTAGGCCTATAGGCACACCAGGACGGTTCGCCACTGTTTGAGTACCGCAGGTTTGCGTCGTGTCGACCCAGGCGATGGTTCTTGACACCGCGGGAATCGTTCAACCTTGAACGATCGGCCGTTTCCGAAACGCCACATCGCTGAACATCGATCGATTCTGGGTCGCCGTCGGCGTTCAACGTTGAACTCCGGCGGCGGGGTCGCCGCTGGTCGACACGACACGAACCTACCGTACCACTGCCCCTGGCCTGTGGCCCTCCCCTCGCCGCTGCCGCTCGGCTCCGCGCCCACCTCCAGCAGGGCCGCCGCCACGCCCTCCTCGTGGTCGCGCACCCACTGCGCCCAGTCGCCCAGGCCGGCCAAGGGGGGCACCTCCCTGACTCCAGATCCGCCCTACTTTGTCTTTTATTCCAACTTAGAATTGCGTCGGAAATCCACCTATTAGGAGCCGAAAATGTAGGGCGGAAATTTCTGCACCCAACATAAAATGGGGCGAAAATCCACAGAAATAGGGCGGAAGCAGCAGCAGAAAAGTAGAGCGGAAATTGGCATCAGCGGGGCTTCAAAAGTAAGGCGGAAATTCCAAGCCCTACTTACGAATTGCCCCCAAATAAGGGCGGATCCGGAGTCAGGGTCGCGGGCCCCGCACCAGTTTTTGGTGACCGTCCGCGCGGCGACCTCGGCACCTCCCCGAAGATCTGGGCCCAGGAAGACGATTCTCGGGCTGGGCGGATGGGGCTGGGGAGATACGGGGCACGACCGCGTAAGAAGCATACTCGACATACGCGACCATGCGGATGATCTGATGCATCCTCCCAACCCGAGGAGGAGGAGGAGGAGGAGGAGGAGGAAGAGGAGGAGGAGGGGGAGGAGGAGGAGGAGGAGGAGGAGGAGGAGGATCAACTCGGATGACGATACGTCGGGAATCTCTGAGAGCCGGCGGGTCCAGACGATGTCTCGGGCGCCGCGGCCTTCTCCGAGAGAGCTCATGCACGCCCCGAGGAGGCTCCAGGACGCCCTGGAACGGACTCATCCTCGTCCCAGCCCCGTCCGAAGATTATGTCGGGCGTGTCCCCCGACAGGGGTATTTTCGACGAAAAATTAAAAATACCCTCAAAAGGCCCCCAAAAGGTAAAACAAAAAAATACTACAAACATAGTCCCCATACGATTTTGAGACTATTTTGGAATATACCCCCTGTAGAGGGACAGGCCCGACTTACTCCGAAGATTTCCCCGCACTGTCCGCTTCCGCGCCGATTTTTGAGAGGAGCCTGGAGGCCAGTCGCCCAAGACGATCCTCAGAGAGCGGCCCGAGCCCAAAAATCGTGCAGTCACCCCGAAGCGCTTCTGACTGACCACGCTGGCCCTCCTCCGGATGTTCGGCCTTCGGGCAATGCCGACCAGCCACAACTGGGGGAGCTGTGGTCCTTACCCCCCTGGGGGAACCCATCGCATCGCCGATCTCTCGAGAGGGGTGTCGAAATCGATGGGTCCCCCAGGGGCGTAAGGACCACAGCTCCCCCAGTTGTGGCTGGCCTGCCATGATAACTCGGGCCCCAGGGCGCCCATTCGGCGGGGCGCAGCTGATGGCACGCACCCTGGGCTCTGGAGACTCTCGAAGACTGCAGAAGCCGACAGGAAGCTGCCACAACTTCCTCGTGGTGGCCGCACGAGCGTCGATCATGACCTGCGGCGCCGAACCGGAGCCTTCCCGGGTCGCATTCCGATTGGAGCTTCGCAGAGAATCTAGCCGTGGGGGCGATGGCTCTCGAGGACGAACATCGGTGCCGGTGTCTTTACACACGAGAAAACCCAACCAATGGATGGGTGAGATAAATAATGAGATCGATCATGAGATCGATAATGAATCGTGGGATCGATGAAGAGATCGATGTAAAAGATCGACTGGGAACCCGGGAACCTGGAACCCGCCGAAATCGGCCCGGAACCAATGACCATGAACCCAGGAACCCAGAACCGGGAACCGGGGAACCTGGGAACCCAGCCAGCCACCAAAATCGGAGGGAAACTCCCGCCAAATCTTTCAACTTCCGCCAGGACCCCTTCAGTGCACACACTGCTTGGGGAAGAGCCGCATAGTGGCAGACCGTGCGGTGGCCTCGAAATCACGACGGGTCTCACCGCACGGTCCGGCACCCCACAGCCTTTAGGACCTCGGAGGCCCAGGCGGTCCGAGACGTCCTCGGAGAACAAGCCGGGCCCCAAGACCGTGCAATCACCCCGGACCCTCACTGACTCACCACACCGGCCCTAGTCCGCATGTTCGGCGTTCGGGCCATACCTCTCGGAAGCTAGGCGAGGGCTGGCAAATCCGTGGCTGCCAAAACGGTCTTCCCGGAAGAACAAATCAATTCCCGGAATAAAGCTCAGCGCGCTCAGTAGTAAACAGGCTGCTTCTGGAGCTCCGTTTTAGCAGCCACGGGTTTGCCAGCCTTCGCCCGGCTTCTGAACCTCAGGTCTCTGGAACCCGTTTGGAACGATCCGGCGACAGCCAAATCGAAAACAGATCGAACCGACAGGGAAACCGAAACTGACCGAAATCGACGGGCCACATGCAGTCCAAATGGCGAAGCGACGGGACAACGACACAACAACGGACAGAACCGAACAGAATGCAACCGACTGCGACGCAACTGGACCGACCGAGCCGCGAAGACGCTTTTCCTCCTGATTGGAGCACCTCGCCCGGAGGAGGACCGGTCCAACTTGACCACCCAGACCGATTACCCCTCATGCAATGACGGGGACCTGAGTTAGGCTACGCCTTCGTGGTGTTATTAGGGTCAGGGGCCCTCTTATTCCCGATGATCCTCCTCCTACGGGTAAGACTTGTGTCTATATCCACTGCAGCTGGGAGTTTTGGGCCATTAGGGTAGGGGCTCCCTTCTTCCCGATGATCCTCCTCCTACGGGTAAGACTTGTGCTCATATCTCATGCAGCTTGGGGCCTCGGGCTCCCTTCTCCAGAAACCCGAGGCCCATCGGTTATGCATAAAGATCAGGAGGCTCGATTTGTATTCACATCCTGTGCGCCTCGGCCTTGCGGCACCCCTTCCAAGAACCCCCCAAACGTCTACCTGGATACGGATACGCATATTGTCCGCCCCTCCTCCTTGGAGCACCTCGCCTGAAGGAGAAACCGGTCCAACTTGACCACCCAGATCGATCATCCCTCATGCAGAGACGGGGACCTGAGTCAGGCTGTGCCTTCGTGGCGCTAGTAGGGTCAGGGTCTCTCTTGTTCCCCATGACCCTCCCCCTACGGATCGGACTTGTGCCCATAGCTACCGCAGCTTGGGGCCTCGGGCCCCCTCCCCCAGAACCCCGCGGCGCAGTGGAGAAGGATAGAGCATCAATCCACACATCGGCTCGTGGTGTGATTCGGGTCAAGGGCGCTCTTTTTCTCGAGGGTGCTCCCCCTCCGAGGGGGAGGAGGAGGAGGAGGAGGAGGAGGAGGAGGAGGAGGAGGAGGAGGAGGAGGAGGAGGAGAGGCGGAGGAGGAGGTGGAGGAGGAGGAGGAGGAGGATGAGGATGAGGATGACGAGGAGGAGGAGGAGGAGGAGGAGGAGGAGGAGGAGGAGGAGAAGGAGGAGGGGGAGAAGGAGGAAGAAGGAGGAGGAGGGGAGGAGGAGGAGGAGGGAGGAGGGGAGGGGGAGGGGGGAAGGAGAAGGGGGAAGGCGGAGAGGAGGAGGAGGAGGAGGAGGAGGAGGAGGAGGAGGAGGAGAAGGAGGAGGAGGAGGAGGAGGGGGCACCTCGTCCAGAGGAGGACCGAACATGGCCTGCGGCGCCGCCCCGGAGCTGAGCAGCTCCAGCGGCGAGCGGCCCCGGGTGTCGCGCGCGCGGGCGTCCGCGCCGGCGGCGGCCAGCAGCCGCACGACGCCCGCGCGGCACCCAAGGCGGACGGCCGCGCAGAGGGGCGGCTCGAAGCCGTGGTCCATGAAGGGCTCCTTGGCGGCGTGGGGGTCCTGGGAGACACCGCTGAAGGAAACAACTGTGCCTCACGAACTTCGGCTGCACGTAAGAGTGACCCTGGGCAAGAGGCAAGAGTGACCTTTGGTGCGCGGCTTTTTGGGGGGCGCGAGGAGGCCAAACACAAGCGCGCAAGACGCTACTATCGCACGGAGCGCGGCGATCGGAAGACCCCAGTGAGCGCGCACCAAAGGTCACTCCGGCGAAGGGTCACTCTTACGTGTAGTCGAGAACTGGGGGACCACTCCGAATCTTGGCTGCCCCAGTACGCAACACGCAACACGCAGGCCGAAAGCGTATGTCTGACGCGATCCGTTCGCCAACACGTGGGCCAATACGTTGAGCCAACACGCAACGTATTGACACGGACGTTTTGAGCACGGTACGTGTTGCGTTTCAAAACGGGCGTATAGAAGCAACCATGCTTCGAATACACCCCCCGAATCCCCCCTGCCTTACTATTGCGCACTTAGGGTCCTGGAGATGAGCGGCTGGAAAACAATTGAAGCCAAGATCTG